TCAAAACGAAAACCTCACCCTACTAAGAAGTGAACCGCTGAACCCTGTCAACCCTGACCCCCAAACCTTAAACCCTAAACCCCTAAACCCTAAGCCCCAAACCCTAAACCCTCAACCCCAAACCTTAAACCCCAAAACCCTCAACCCCAAACCCTAAACCCCAATACCCATAAACGCTGAACCCGATAAGCCCTCCACCTGATCTCTGCCTCCGAGGTGCATGGATGCGGGACTCCTGAGTTAGCTCGGCGGCTTTGGACGGCCAGCTTTGGTTTAGGGTTTAGGGTTTAGGGTTTTTTGCGTTTAGGGTTTAGGGTCTTAGGTCTTTACGGCTGTAAGGTTTCCTTTTTTCGGGTTTAGGGTTTAGGTCTTAGGGTTTCAAGGCTTCAGGCTCTAGGGCTCAGAGTTTAAAGCTTTGGGGCTGTAGAGCTGCAGGGCGTTGGGGTTTAGACTTTGGGTTGAGTCTTACGGGGACTCTTTAAGAGGTGCTATGTCAAGGGGGTCTAGGTTTAGGGTTTAGGGTTTAGCGGGACTGTTTAAGACGTGTTATTTCAAGGGTGTCTAGGTGGGTTTCACTGAGAGCTTTGCTAGAGGGCTCGGGTTGCTGGCCTGGCCATGAACCGTCATAGTTGTTGGGTTTATGGTTTAGGACTTAGGGTTTAGGGTTCAGGGTTTAGGGTTTAGGGTTGAGGGTTTTTGGTTTGGGTTTCGGGCTTTTGTTCCTTCACACGTTACCAACATCAAAGAAACGTTATCAGAAACGGCCTGGGTCCTGGGTTGGGTTAGGGGAGCGTTTGGCTGATATCCTCTTGACCTCAACCCTACATCCTAGACCCTGTAAGGCGCAGCATGCTATATCAAATGATGAGGCCGGCCAAACTCTACGAGCCTTGCATAGTTTCTGCGAGTGTTTCCTTGCTCGCACATGTTTTGGACTAAACAGGCGAGCGGTGCCCCTGACAGGTTTTTCGGGGCTCCCGCTGTGGTGCGGTGGAAAATTTTGCGCTCGCGTCCTAGCATTTGCGCCGGACCAGCAAAATCCAATAATGTAGGGGCCTTAATATTAGAATAGGGATTTTTTGTGGCCCATTATTCTATAGCTATAAAAATAAGGAACTCTCCAAAATAGTATAGGTAGTTATTTAGGCCCCTATAGTACAGATGCCGCCTGTGGGTCTCGAAGCTCTGACGTTTAGGGTTTAGGGTCTAGGGTTTAGGGTTGATTCCCAGACCGCCGGGAGGATCCCAAAAGTAGATTCCTTAAGGAGGGGGGTTCCGAAAAAGACCCTTTAGTAATAAAGGGTCCCAAATTCGGGGATCTACTTTCTATCCTTCCGGGGGAGGGATGCGTTTTGGCCGTGCTGCATGGTCTCCAGGTGATCTCAACAGGTGGTCCTGGTCGTCTTGTTCGTCACGGTGCTCTTTCACTGCTTGGTCATCTACGCACAGTCACGAACTATCCCGAAACCCGTAGAGCGCCCTCAAGCAACTCTCGTCAAGTCCGTGTTGTGCTACTGCTGGATATTGCCTCTACATCGGGCTTCCCCTTTGCATGTTCAGTTGTAAGGACCTTGATAAGCTAAACCCTAAAATCTAAACCCTGAACCCTCCAAACCTCCTAAACCCTAAACCCTAAACCCTAAACCCTAAAGCCCTAAACCTTAAACCCTACGCTCCTAAACCCTCTGAACCCTTAGCTGCCCCAAGCTTCCATGTTGTCCCGCGTCTCGCGTCTCTTCTCGCGGGCATCTGCGCGAGCCGCCTTTTCCTCGCCAGGGTTTAGGGTTTAGGGTTTAGGAGTTTGGGGTTTAGGGTTTAAGG